GCGCATTCAAGGCTTTACTAGAAACCAGAGTTTTCTGAAAGGCATTGAAGAGTCTCAGGCTGTTAGCAATGGATCAATCGGGAAACCACTTGGTGCTCATCTCCTTGAAGTTCCTTCTGGCATTGTGTCCGCTTTTGTTTACCGTCTGCTGTGACTTGCTGAACCAGGAGTGTGGACCCCATTGCCTTTGGTTTCAGCACGACCTTAAAGGGACAGCAATCTGCCTCACTCAATCACTCATCTCACTTTATTTGGTTTTGCTGTTTTTACTCATCTTCCCTCGACTTGTGTTCTTTTTAGTAAAGCTCTTCTATTTTTGAGATGTTATCCAACCTGAAATCCTGGTGAGAATCTCATTTTTGTCCACCAATTCCTTTGACAAGGTTGCCTGGCCTATGGTATTAAAAGAGAAGGAAAAGGAAAAGGGGGCGGGGAGAAGAAGACGAAGGAAAAAAAAAAAAGAAGAGAAAGGGGAAAAAGGAGATTGAGGAAAAGCAAATCACACAGCATAAGCTAATTTTCACATATTAACTCGGTTCTGAAGGCCACTTAATGATGTATTACAATAGAAGGGAAACTTTTGATAATACTCTCGATTTCAAACCTAACCATTCTTTTTAAAATAAATTCTCCAACATAACATAGTTCCGAAGGCTGCAGTACGATGTTACACACAGAACTATACTGGGTCACCCAACTCTATGTGCTAATAAGGAAAGGAAAGTACGACTTGTCTTTCAGCTTTTGAAGCTTGGCCAGATCTTCCAGGTCAGAGGCAGAACAGCTCGGCCTGTGGCAGCCCCCAGTTTTCCCCTCCCAGGGCACAGCAGCTGTGACTTCCTGCCACGCAGTCCTCTTGCACCCCCTTTCCTTCCTGGCTGCCCTGCCCTGGTGGAGGCAGCAGGTCTTAGCTACTGGAACTGTTGTGTGTCAGTTGGCATTTTTTTCCTGAAGGCTACACATTCCCAGGTTTCTGCTTCCTGAAGGGTTTGTTAGTTGAGGCTTGTTCTCCACGGGTAGAAGTTCATCTGATACTGTCCCATCCTGAAAAGTGGGTACTTTGAGAGCTTAGATGTCACTGGATTTGTACATATCTGAAAGCAGTCTTGTAATTGGTACGTTGCCGATGGTTTTTTTGAAAAACACTTCTTCTATGGTTGATGGGCTGATAGAACGTAAAGCTGGCAAAAGCAACAGGAGTTTTCCAAAGCGGCAAGGCTGCGTGGGGTATCTGGAATATGAGAAGCCGTGAGAGCAATGTCAGAGCCCTTTTCAAATGGGAATTAACATCTCGAACCTGAACACACACCATTTCCACTATAACTCCCTGATGTGGGCCTCTTAAATAACATCCTGCCCCTGCAGGAGAGCCCTGGACAGGTACTACTGTTCCTGTCTTGCAGGTGGACTACTTGAGACACAGAGAAGATTAACGACACGGCACAAATCACACGGTGACTCTCTCTGCATTAGCAAAGGGGTTGCATTTTGTTCAGAGAAAGAAGAGTCTTAAGAAACATAATACTAACTTTAAGCCAAATAACAAACTTAACGTTGCCACTGTAGAAAATGACTATGGCGCTGATGACAAAGACAGTAACAGAACTTTCATTTTCTAGTCCTCAAGTCTCCTTCACAAGGCTACTTCCCTCAAATTAAATGATTTCTTTTTCTAAGCAATTCTCCAAATTATTATTCAGGCATTATACTTAGTCACTCTCAGGAATAATTCCATCCTTATTACCCTGCAAATTAAAGACTAAGTTCTGTTGGGTGGCAGTGCCACCCAACTTTCATGTCAATGAAATTGGCATATAATTAAATATGTGAGAAATTGCTTAACAATTTCCTCTCTTGATGTCCAACATACATCTGTACTCAGATGTGCAAGTTCAATTTCCTGCTGTCTTTAGATGCCTGTAAGCCACCTCCTCACTGCAGCCCCTATACCTCTTTAACCAATAGCTTAAAATCAGATATCAATTCGCTCCACAAGGAGGGGTTCCTCCACTGAAACAAACCACCTAAAAAAAACAAGCTGCAGGGCATGCTGTGTGGCTAAGCCAAGTTCAACCCAATCCACAAGGTGCTGGAAACAGAGATATCAAAATTCTTTTAAAGGAATTTGGTAGCTGTGTTTAATTGCTTGGTATTTCCACCCTGAAGATAGAGTCCAGGGGAGCAACTTTCATTCTTGTCTCTTAATAAATAAGAGTCTCTCTCTTCAACTGGATACGAGGCATATAATTCATTATGGGTCTCTGAGGACCTCATTTGGCTCGTACACTACCCAGCTTCATGCATGACCACCATGGACAAGGGCCACCAGACCACATTTAAAAATGTGATAGGAAAATAATGAAGTTTATCTACATTAAAACAAAAGAAAACATAAAATACACCATTTTTTCTCCTTGCTGAATATATCTGCCATGCTGAATATATTCTCCCATGTCTCATGTCTTTCTGTCACTTTGGCCACTTTCTCTCGTCAACAGTCCTTCTTCATGCAGAGGGTCTGAGGCAGAGGCTAGTTAGACAAGTTGCACCCTGTCTGCAGCATCCACCCCATATGCCAACCATTGCCCATGGTAAGAAACCATTGTGGGAAATAATGATGCTCAGAAAGCATGCATTTTTTGTGAATCCATAGACAATTAATTATTGACTTTCTATGAATAGTTTTCCACTTATTTACTTACCCACTTCCTTTATTCTCTATTTGGGAAAAGGCTGGTTGGCGTCAGTCAACAAGAATTAATTGTCTATTACATGTGGAGTAATGTACCACCCAGAAACAGTAACAATGTGTGAGAGAGACAAAATCTAACTGCTCAAAACTATTTTTTAGAACATTTATAGCTCTGACTTCATCCATTAGCACAAATAATAAGAAATTTCTTTTCCCATTTTGAACGTTTTGTGTCTACCACAGAGTTCTGTATTTGAACTTCAATTATAACATAGTTTTGTGAAATGCCATTTTCTAGCCTTTTCCTGATGTCCTAGATAGAGAAATGATTTACAGAGCTATAACAATTAGCTCAATTTGCACATTAACTTTTCATTTCAATTTCAGATTTTATTTTCCTAGAGAGGAAAGTGCTGGAGGAAAGAAGACTAACTGATTTGAAAGAGCTAAGGAACACAACATCATCATTTATGTCACATGTATGACCCTAGATATTAAGCTATAGCTGTAGCTGTTATCATGAAATAAGAACATCATGCTGAAGCAGAAGTAGTCCTCCTACAGATCATTTCCTTGAGGAGTGGAAAAGATGTAGTGGACTAGTTGTTTCTCTTATATAGAAAGAATGGAATTCTTGTGGAATTCTCCTGGACCACTCTATGGGCAGCTTCTGGTGTGCCAGGCTTCCAGCCCTCCCCCTGGAACACTTCTCTGGCACCTCGCACAACACTGCCACCAGCTCACCAACTGGCTTGCTGCACCCCCTCTTCCCTGCTGAAATCCTTCCACCATTCAAGGACCAACTCATTAGTCAGCTTTTCCAGATTTTCCTCACCCCCTTCCAACTGATCTCTCCAACTTCCCATTTTACTTTTCTCTCCTGTCTGGTGTGAACTGGAGTGACATCTCTGCCCACTGCACATTATGGAAAGGGGCATGTCTTTTGTCTTTCTGGCATCCCACAAGGCCCACCTGGAGCCTTGTGCATGGCAAGTACTCAGCAAAGGCTTGACTGAACCAAAGGCTGAGCATCCCATTCTTAGTTTGGTGCTCTTAATATCCTATCAGCTCTAAATGTCAAAGGTTAGACTTTAATGGGGGGAAAGTGTGCAAATTATGTACTAGTCCATTTGTCTTTGTTTTGCTTTTTTCATTTTTGTCATTTTGAACAAACATTGTTTCTATAGATATGTTCTGAAATTCAATATGGATTTTAAATTTCAAACTACGGCACTTTACTTTGGAAAAACATATACACATGCACTATCTTTCAACATAGTTTCAATGATATTCCATGTACAGGTAAACTTTTATTCATTCAACTTTCAAAAGAGGATTTATGATACTAAAAAGGAGATCCTAGCAGAAATGGTGTCACTCCGAACTGATAGAGCTGACTTGGGATTTCTCTGACTGCTCATGTGAGGCAGGCACCGATGGCCTCTACCCATTTCATGTAGTTATTCCCACCACAGTATGTACGGCTAATGTTGAGATGATGGAGGCAGGCCTTCCCAGGTCCCTTTCAAGATCAGTCTAGAGAATAAACAAGAATAGCCAATTCTATTCTATCTCAGATCCACCACAGTCCTGTCTTAGGAAGCTAGAGAGGCTCCAATTGCTTTTGCATCCATTTTGCATCTGAAAATGGAATCAGAAAGTCTACACCTCTTGGTGGGCTTGCCGAGTGCTGTTGAAGAGTTTCTACAAATAGGTAGGGCAGCCTCTACCAGAGGGCCCTAGTTGGCCAGAAGTAACCTGTGGTTGCTAGTAGCCAAAATGACAGATTCACATCACCGAAGCCAAACAGCAGTTATGTTAGGGGTAAAGATGGCTTCTCTAGAAAATTCTCTGGTCCTTCTACTGGGAGTGGCATCTAAGGAAAGGCATCTACCTTTAATCAAGAATGATGTAACCATTATTTAATATACCAACCATAAAACTTTAGACTTGGCTTTTGATCCTTCCCATATCCATTCATGCAAACGTGTTTAACTATCTTGGTTGGTCAACTTGTTCATCCAGGACAGTTGTAATGTTTCTCACAATGCTTTCACTTTGATCACCTAATTTGATTTGCTCTTCTCACCCACCCTGAGAGATGGGTGAGGACATAAATTCTAACTAATTAACTGGTAGGCAACAGGATAATTAGACACAATGTTTAGATTGGCTTATTCCTGCCTGCTTGCACATTCACAATGGAAGCAATTTTCTTAAGTACATGTTCAAGGCAAACAAGAGTCACCTGGTATGGATGTAGCTGTTGAGAGTTAGCTGAGCCTCATCTTGAAGAGCTGCAATGGCGGCAGCATTCCGGAAACTTCTCAGTTCAGAACCACTGTGTGTAGGAACTAGAAATGAAGACCAGGAAACTGTGATAGGCAACACAGGAAATACTGTGGGAATGCACTGCTCTGGAAATGGGTCCCCATCAGGAGAGCATGCGGGTCACCACAGCCATTGAAGATGGGGCCAGCGTAAGTAGATCAATTCTCTTGAAAACATCACCTCTTTTTGTGAAGGTCAGTCTAGACTTTGAGGTGGCTGAATTAATGAGGCGGCAAAACTGGAGAAGAAGAGACAGGGATCTGGGTCTACTTACCAGCTTTGAAAGTGACAATGCATTTCAGACAGGCAAATTCAGTAGCGTCTAACCGGAGCTGTCTAAACCGAGCCACCACCTCTTGTAAAGCCTGTATTTCAGATATGATCTTGTTCAGCTTCTGGGAATCTGTGTTGTCACCATTCATGCCTAGAATAAAAATACGGGATAAATATTCTAATATGAAGGCATTTTCATGATTTAATATTGATTTTTGACAAAATCTTGCATATCAATATCTATTCAATTGTCACTCTAAGATATCTGATTCCATGTAAACTGGCTATATTGTATGAAAGTTAATATAAAATCTTCTCTTGGATGATAACAAACACAGTAATTTGCATTTAAATAACAATGCAAGCAGTCATGAATACAACAAAACAACATTATTTGCATTTAAATATAGATTTATAAATGACAGGTATACTCTATTGTTCAGCAGGAATTTGTTATTCTTTACATGTTGTTCTTTTTTCAGTAATGTATTTTTATGGTAATTTCTACAACAAAGTCATTAAATTGTGCAATTCTTACCAGATACAGCCAGTAGAGTGTTAGCATCAACCGGAATGGCCCATTGTGCTATTCCTAGAACAAACAGTTCTCTCCAAGCATCTTCCAAAAGCATCAGCTGTCATACAATAGATGTATAATATAATATAGTGTGTAATTTATAAATTTATAAACAATTTCAGTATGTAAATTTCCATTATTTTAAAAAGTGTTTTAAATGCTTGTCTTTGGTAATTTTTTTTTCAAATAATCTAGCTTTCCCTTATTTCCCATATTTTCCTTTTTGAAAAGGTGCCTATAGATATGCACATGCATTTGAGAGTCAGCCGTTCCAATTCCTCAAAGTTTGCTTCCCTCAGAAGAGGATTCACCCCTTTTGTCCTTATGTCCACCCATTCCTGACCACCTAGAAACTTCTGTAGAGACCCAGGATCTAAGAAATAACACCAGTGCATGGCAGGTGGACTCCCCGGTACAGAAGGCTGTTATTGTGAGGGAGAGGATTCCTGACTAAGCTGACAAGTGTGGGTCCCCATCTTCTTGGAAGGTTGAGGGGGTTGGGTTGGTGAGAGGGGGGGAGAGGGAGAGAGAGAAAGAGAGATAGATCACTAATTCCCAGGAGGCATGTGGAAAATCAGGGTATAATTATGTTAATCGGGTTTTGCTGAGTTTACCTCATCTCACTGCCTGATTTTTCCTAGACTCATAAGTGGACAGCATCAAGGTGCTTGTCATTTTCATTCTAATAAAATGCACTACTGAATATTTAAAATGAAAATCTGCCTCCTTTCCTAAATTAATATACTAGATTCCACTTCACTGCAGTTTGCTTAGGGCTAAGTGGCAGACAGTAAGTAAATTCTGTTTGGATTAAAGAGTCTACAAATACTTGTTTTGAGAAAAAAAATATAGCCAATTTGCACACATACAAACACACACATACACATGAACAGAGCAAATGCGGAGAGCCAACCAGTAAACTTGGTCAAAGATAGGATCTAACAGGCTTGAAAAAAATCTCTAGTTTTGAAAGAAATCTCTCAAAACTCAGCCAATTCTGAATGATTAATATGAAAGAATTTCCTTTTAGGAGCTAAGAATCATGAAGGCTTGCTACCAAAATCACAAACAAATGGAAAGTTTGAATTTTCAAATGTGTTATTTTTAAGTTTTATCATATTAAGTACAGAAAATAATAATTGTAAAGTGCAAGGTAAACCATATGTAATTATGGATATATTTCATGCTAAAAGATAAAATATTTTTAACACATTGCCCAGTCTTTCTTTTGTTTTGTTTTTGGGATGCTGGGGATGGAACTCAGGGCCACTGAGCTACATCTCCAGCTCTGCCCAGTCTTTCTAAAGGAAACATATTTCATAATAAAGCTCACTATTATGCTTTAATTGGGCATAAAATGAAGAGTTAAATCTTTGCCTTTTAGAACTTCTTACTAGAACTGGGGGCATAGCTTAGTGGTAGAGCAATAGACTATAAGATGCCCTGGGTTCATCTCCAGCATGGACAGGGAAAGAATAAAAAAAAAAAAAACCTATATATTAGCTTTCTGGGAAATTTGTCATTAATTTCTGTGAATGCATAGGTAATAGTCAACGGCTGTAAATGCCTCAATTTCTTTTCTTTCCCTTAAAGTTAGAAAAATGCTGGCAGGGGCCATTATTGATATTCCTAACAAAATTTCTGGATTTTGGCACAATGCAATTTTTAGCTGCACATAATTTTCCTGCCTCTGAATGTCATTGTAACCACAGAATTATGCAAAATGCCTATTTGTTTACAAAATGCCTAAAAACACTTAAAGAATCACAAAAGATGCTAGCCTACAGGAGATGTGCAATGTGCTCTTTAATCTCACATGCAGATGAATCAATAGTTAAAATCTTTAAAATCTTAATGGAAAATATAAAGCTGAGAATATGATATGATGAGACTAATTCCAAAAATCTCATGGGTGAATACTCTTACCACCTTCTATTTCTCACAGTTCCAATGTTCCCAAGAAAACACTATTTTTTCCCAATGATTTTCAAAAGCATTCACATTTTAAAATTTTAGATTAAATTTGATGTTTCCATTAAACTAAAAAAGCGATGATGTTCTTATATGTGTTTTTCATAGATCAGATCCAACTTTTTTGAAATAACATAATTGCATTTCTTACTAACAATTCCATAGGAAGATAACTTGAATTTTTAGAAAGATGATGGTAAAAATAAATGGTTTCTTCATTATGCCTAAAAATGCATGCCTACCTTGGTGATTTATCCAGGTACTGAGGTATTGTACCTTTTGATATGGTTAAGTACTATTGCTTCCTTCCCAACCCTCTTTCTTTTTTTAAATATTTTTTTAGTTGTACTTGGACATAATGCCTTTATTTTATTTTATTTTATTTTATGTGGTACTGAGGATCGAACCCAGCGCCTCGCTAGATGAGCACTCTACTGCTGAGCCACAACCCCAGTCCCCCAACCCCCTTTCTCACAAGACTTCTGTGTCCTGTTGATCATACCTGGTCTTGCAAAGACAGCGTGGAAAAAGCTGGCACACTCTTAGCCCACTTGATGCTCATAAAAAGAAGCCTGGCAGCTGATTCACACACTGACTCTGTGGCTACTTCATAGAGATACATTGGGGTACCATTCACTTCGTGGGGGTACTAGGAGGGAAAGAGAGACATCTGGACGTGAGGAAACAATAGCTTTGGAAGAAGTGCTACACTTTTGATTTTCTAATTAAAGCAGGGGAGTGGATGGAAAGAAATCTATAGGTTCCCCTTAAATGTACAGTTGCCATAGGTGGGTAAAAACCACACATCTGTATTTACAGAGTTTTGGAAATAATGCCTGTTGAGGAAGGCCCATTTCCACTCTTTGGGGGCTTTTCCCTTCCAGAGGGGTGTCTGGCTTTTCTATCCCCTACAGGAAATTTTCCTTGGGCTGAGCCAAGTGCCAGGCCTGTCTCCCAGTTTAAACAAGAGCTCGCATTTGTGTAAATAAAAATAGATATGAAAAAAGTATAAATTAATAGGCATCCCAAACACAAATATGCATATGAGTATTTTTAGAAAGGATTAGTATATTATGGAAATATTTCAATTAGACATCTTAATCATTCACAGAGCATTCCCATTCATAACTGACAACATATTCATAACACTACTTTTCCAAGCTTATTATACACATCAAGGGTAAGAAAGCAATATTAAATATTGTGCATGTGTATGTGCCCAGGTGTTTGGCTTCCCTGCAGTGTGGGGCTGCAGCTGGCCCTCCTCTAGGGAAAATCCTGGGCCCTTCTCCCTCTGGAATGGGAACCTTGGTGAGGTATCCCCTGGAGGCCTGGAAAATAGTCCCTAGGTGGCGCCTTCCCAGGTGGTTCAGGCTGTGGCCCTGCAAGTAGGGGCTCAATCTTGATGTAAATCCTTGTGTCTCTTAAGGCAGTAAGGGGAGCAGTAACAGTGCCATCTACACATTTCTCTCTTGCACCACCACTTTGGAGACCCACCACTTTGCTCAAGATAATAGATCCCAGAGATTGACAACTCGGGAGCCCTTACTCCAGATGAGCCAACTGCTTTTTCTAAAACAAAAATCTGTTCTTCTGGCCTTTGGGAACACCTAAGGCTGCCCCCCCCCCCAGGGTTGGACAAGTTCCACTCCACCACCAATCACTGCTGGGGTTTCCAAAAGTTGAAAGTTTTTGGCCTCCACCCCAAACTTGCTGAAAGGGAATTTCTGGGTTATGGTCCTTGTAGCCACTCTACACTACATATGTAGGGCGACTCTACACTAAAGTTTGAGAATCTTTGGCTCAGAGGAGAGAGTGAGAAGCCTAAAGGTGAGCACCCAGGAAGTCCATTGACTGAACTCATCATAATTTGGAAGAACTAGTGAGCCTTACTTCACCCTCTGCTAGGTTCCAGTCTCTTAGGGCCCAGCAAGACCACTGACCTTGGGAGTGGGCTGAGCCAGGCTCACGAGGGTCTGACGCTCTGGAGTGGCGGACACTGCGGCCAGCTCCAGGCTGTGCGGCTCCAGCTGTGTGACCGCGGTGAAGAAGGCGGGAGCTGGCAGAGCAGCGGACGGGAAGTGCGTGGCTGCCCCGTTCTCCTCCTTGTGTCCACGAAAGTAGAGGGCCACCTGTTTGCGAATGGTGGATGTCCGAGGACCCCTCTCGTGCTGCACAGCTACAGAGATGAACAGGCGGACAACACATTCAGGATCAGAGATGCCGCCCACTTGGCCGCTCTGTCATCCCAATGTCACATTAGGGCTGGGAAATCACCCGAGAGGCGCAGAGAGGGAGGGAGAGGGAATGTGAGCGCAGAAGGCGCTGTGTTAGCGTTTAACTCCTACACTGTATGGATTAGGAAGCTGAGGCCAAGAAGAGGAGTCTGTACCCCAAGGGCCACCATAATACTGTGGCTTTAAGCAAAACTAGAAGTGTTCTCGGTGGGTTCAGGGCTCATTGTCACCCAGGGGCTAGCAAGTTAACCACAGACTCTTGGGCGGGAGTAGCGAAGTGCCCTAGCCCCCGCCCCCAGCCCCCACGACGGGGAGAGGGAGTGTCACTCACATCTAGGCACAAAGTCTCTGGACAGATATTTCCAGCTTCTCCCCAAAACAACTCCCCCGACCTCCAGACCCACCCCCACAGGAATAGCTTTGGCCTCCAAGGCCCCAAGAGAAAAGGACCCAAGCCCCGGGGACGCTGGGGGATGGGACCTGGGAGAGCTCCTCTCCGAGTGCGCTGGAGGAAGGCAGGGGAGATGTGACAATTACCACCAACAGTTTAAACAAACAAATTAATTCAGGGCAATCTTCCGCCCGCCGCCGAGCTTGACAACTTGTCAATACAGAAGTTCAACAGGTTGGACGCTCCCTCCTGCCTCCTGAGCGGCGGAGGAAGGAGCTTTCCCGGATAGGCGCTGTGCCTCAGGCGGCTGCCACCCGCCCAGGCCTCCTCCACCCGAGGCCCACTCGACACCCCGTCCCTAGACAGTATTCCGCTGTCCCGCCCAGAACCCCCGGTTCACGCCCGGGGCTGGAGGGCCCTCGCCAGGCCACGATGGGGGACACAGCTTGGACTGCGCTGTATACCCAAGAAGCATCCTGAAGCCCAAGGGGAACTGGGTGTCGGAGGCACCCAAGGCGTCACCCTGCCTCTCCAAACCCTTTTCTCGCTTTCCTGTAGAACCGAGAAAAGGCTCTGAAAAAGCCTTGACCCGCCTAATGGACCTACTGATTTTGGCATCTGTGAATTTGCAAAAAGGAGCTTGGATTTCCGGTTTTCGTGCCTCAATTTCTTCTCCAACCCGCCACCATCTCAGCCACAATCTCCCCCCAAGGAGATTATCTAGACTGAGATGGGGGGGGGGGAAACAGTCTTGGGGATGGCAAAAAAAAAGGCGAAAAGACTAGGACTCAGGGGGGGAAACACTGTGTCTGGAGCTGCGTGAGTTCCCCCCAACGCTGACATTCTGAGGATGCTTTGGGGGGCCAAGTTTCGGATTTGGGCATGGGCCTTGTCCTGGGGAATTTAGTGGGGTGTGTGGGTGACTCGTGAAAAGATGAAGCAGATACAACTGAAAGCCCTGAAAGCCTGAGGCCAATTCCCAGCATCTGGAAAGAAGTGTTGTGTTCAGGAGATGATTTGCATGCATAGGAGTGCCATGTATTATCTGAACATATAATTTACTTACTACTCAATCAACATTAGAAGAATAAAGGGATGTACTGATTACCATCTTTGTTCATGTTGACTTCCAAACACTTCTTCAGCCGACACGCCCTGCACTGGTTCCTGTGTGTCTTGTCTACTGGGCAGCCTCCCTGGAACAGAGCGCAGGAGGTCAGCGGCCCCCCCTGGGGACTAGAAGCCCCCTCTAGTGCCAGGGCGAGAGGAAAGGCATAGGGACCTCGTCAGACCGCAGACCCCGGGGCAGTAACCGCAGGCTCTCGAAAAGAGACTTGGGCCAGGTATGGAGCTAGGGCTCCCGGGCCTACTGCAAGTGGGTTAGCCCCTGATTCTTTGGATCGACAAGAAGGGTGAAGGGTCAGAAAGCCTGGTTTGCCAGATCCCGCAGGGCTGAAAGAAGCCCGCGAAGGGCAGTTTCACCAGTAGCAGAGTGGTTTGTAAAGAAGAGACTTTTCAGGACCCAAGACAGCGACTTGGCCCTGAGCTTGGTGTGGAGCAGTCTGGAGGGTCAAGATCCACCCTACATCTTCCTCCCTGCTAACTATTCTTTCTGCTTTCAGGTCTCCAGTCTACCTCTTTTGCCACTTTCTGGGTGAGCCCATTTATCTGACAGATAAATCTTTCCCGTTCATTCTTCACTGTTCTGTTATCTCACTTTTGCTTTTGTACTTGAGGCCATTCTTATAACCAGCTTGTTGAGACAGCTCTCAAGTCTTAAAAACTAGCCTCAGTTCAGATTAATGGAAATACAGGCATTCCCAGGGAGTGAGAGAAAAGCCAGAGTGCTTAGGATGGCAAGGCCTTCCTACAAAAGATGAGGGGATGAAGGGAAGAGCCCAAGGTCTGGGGAACATCTAGAAATGTCTACTGTGTAAATACACCCTCCTGTATAAGTACTTGGACTGTCTGACAAAAAGATAATAGGGACAGATAGTATTAGCATAAAAACTGACAAATGGGTAGTTGCCACTTTAGAAATATTTATCCCACACAAGTAAGACAATAAGTGTTTTACCTAGTGCAATTTCCTGGGGGAAAAGTGTTGACCATAAAAAGAGGAAATTTACAGGTTAGGTTTCTTTCAGAATTTATTTAGTGTTAGGTGTAATTACTGAGGGAATATTTGCATAGATACATAAAGAGGAATATGTACTTTTAATTTTTTATTTAATATTACTTTTGGTGGTGCTGAGGATCAAATCCAGGACTTTGAGTATGCTAGGCAAGCACTTTACCACTGAGCTACATCCACAGGCTGTGCATAGTTATTTTATTCACAGAAAATATCAAAGAAATTTGGTGCTTTCCTATATTTATATAAGTTGCCATCATTGCATTTGTTGTGGGAAAGAAGAAAATAAAATATATGTCTTTATATTTTGCTTCATATACTCTGAAATAGGAGCAAGTACATTTGCTCCTGAAATATCCCTTAGGGAAAATAACACACTTGAATGTTTAGTTTTATATGATTATATTCCTCCAATTAAAAATATGTTGCCTTGGGCCAGGGGTCTAGCTCAATGGTAGAGTGCATCCTTAGCATGCATGAAACCCTGGGTTCAATCTCCAGCACCAAAAACAAAGCTAAATAAAATAATATGTCTATTTGTTTAAAGTAAAGATGGAGATAGTTCATAAAAATGTCTAAATGTCTTCATTGCTATTAATGACAAATTGAAATTTTATTTACCTAGTCTTAAAATAAAAGAGAGGAAAGAAAAAAAATTAGTTTCTAAGAGTGTTCTTCAGGGCATTTTGGGCCAGTATAATAATTCAATGTAAAGAGATTTAAAGAACTTATTAAATACAATCAAAGGTTTGTCCCCAAATGATATCTCCCCAGTATTCTGATAAATATGCAAATGCAAATTAGAAACCTTTATTAGTACTTAAGTGTGTCTTCACATCAGATAAAATATATATAGATATCTGAAGGCTGAGAGAAGAAGGAATGAGAGCCTCAGCTCAGCCTCTTTATTCTCTTCGCAAGAAAAGGAACACCAGGCCTGATGAGTCTATTATCCCTCCTGTATAAGTACTTGGATTGAAATCAATATGTGTGGATGGCCACCTCCTTTTAAAATATCAAGCATAACATCTGAGGCTTCCCAATTCTGCATGTTGCACAAAAGTAAAAGATTATCAAAGTGGAAGCCTGTTCAAATCTGAAAACACAGAGTAATCCCAGCCCTGTGGAGCTACTGGGATACAGTCTTATGTCTGTTTATAAGGTGAAGCTAGAAACAGATACAGATCTCAGTATTCAATTAAACAGGTAACAGGGCTGAAGAGTTGAAAATGACATCCGAATGCAAATATGTTCATGTATTTGCTGCCAATTCAAAGCTATCAGAAATTGATATGAGCAGACATGCCTGCAGAAAAAGAAGTCAGAATAATTCACTAGCATCAGATGGGGTATGCATGTGCTCATGTGTATCATATACATTAATTAGTGAAAGCCTTGTGTCATTTTGGATACCAAAGGATGCCTCCTTACTAATGCCCTCTCAGGGATCTTCCCGGGAATGAAGGCAGAGACTCTGTACTGAGGGTCCGTATGTCTGGCTAAAGAGAGAGCAAAGTGTACTAACAGAAGGTTTGATCTCCTAGGTTGAAATAAACTTATAACTGAGCTGTAAACTGAGTCAATCAGGGGTTTTAGCTCACGATGTCTGAAAGCTTTGGCTCATACTCAGTTCATACCCTGAATGCCCTGTCTCTTGGAGACTAAAACACAATTAGGCACATCTTCTAAGCAGAAAGGGTGGAAGGAGATATGGGAATTTGGGAGAGAGCCCAGTTACACCCTCTTTGAGTCTTCTTCCTTACCCTGCCCTTTTCTGACAAGGCCCTGCTAAAGTAACATGGGTGCTGAAGCCCCATTATCCACTTTCAGAACAGCTCTGCTTCTCCCTAGCTGAAAAGGGATGGCCCATCTCAGAGCACTGCCTCTGTCTTCCAGTAGCTAAGGCTTAGTAGTGGTGACCTTGACTCATATGCCCATGTGCCTTTACTTCTGCCATCCCAGCCAGTGGTCAGTAAACTGAACCTGGGTGCTGCTAGAAATGGGGGTCAGGTGGGCAGGCAATTTAAGGTAGCCCTTTCTCCTGCTTGATTCTTGTGGTTTAGATTCTAAAGTTCCTTAGGTCTCCTGGGCAGGCTTGTAGCACTAGGCAAGGGCCTTACCCAGTGTCAAAATCTGTCAGGGGATTAAAAAAAAAAAAAAAAGTGTAGGAAGGCTATGAGATTTCAGACTTCCTCTTGAATCTGTCTTCCCTTACCTTATCCGGCCTTTCCAGAGCCAAAGGGCCTCCCAGAGCTGGGGCAGGAAGGAGGGGAGAGGAAGGGAGAGGCCCGGGCCTGGCCTCTCCTCTGCAGCATGGAAACGCAGAGGAGGCCTTGGCACAAAGGAAGGGGAGGTATCAGTGGGGAGCCGGGCAGTGCAGCCCTGGCTAAGGTACCTGGTTTCCAGATTTGCAGACATATGTCCTATTCCTTCGGATACTCCTCTTGAAAAACCCCGAGCAGCCGTCGCAAGCGTAGACCCCGTAGTGTTTCCCCGAGCTGCGGTCACCACACACTTTGCAGGGGATATCTAAAATGCGGCCTGAAATGGCAGGGAAGACAGGGTGTGTGGGGCGGGGTTGGGGGGGGAGCGGTAAGAGGCAAGAGGGAGAGGAGGGCGGAGAAGAGGGAGGAAAGGGGAGAGGGAGAGAGAGATGCTAAGCAATCTGACCTCTGAAGGGATTAGCATCGAAGCTGCGGTAAAAGCAAATAATGAAGTGATTTTATAGCCAAACTTTTTTTCCTTGAGCAAGTGTCAGTTTCCTACAATGAGCATTATTCATGCACCGCTACATGTATTTGGGTCTCCCCTAATCGCCGAGACCCATTTTGGAATAAAAGATTACAGCAGGCCCGGGCGGCAGCACTGCCCGCCGCTGCCTTTCTGCTCCGCGGAAAGTTTGGCCGCCTCCCTCCTCAGCTCTTGCATTTAACAGAGAAAGTTGTTAGTGAGCGCGCGAGGAGACAAACTTGAAATGTAAAAGGGAAAAGAAGAAAAACAAACACGGCTGGAACCAGGGATGGCAGCTGGAAGGCAATCGAGTTTTCTCTGAGCTCTGCCGGGCGGTTGTTATTATTAGGATTATTATTGTGATGCTAATACTCAGATTATTAATGATAATAAGGGTAGTGGTAATTGCCCAACTTTCTCTTTTTACCTATTAAGAAAATGCTTGGTGGAGCGCTTTTGAGAAATTATTATTATTGTTTTTTTAGGATAAAAATTTCAGCGCAAAGTAGAATGGGTCTAGGAAGAGAGAGGAGAGCGACATTAAATTGTCCCACGATAGCGTGGGACAGCCATCTCTTCTACTCCCCAAGTTCTTTTACCCTAAAAGACCGGCCTCCTCTTATTTAGTCCTAAGTGAGTCTTCCTCCGGGTCGTTCTGCCGCTGGCAGAGGCTGATTTTTTTTTTTAAGGTTCTAATTTCTCTAGGCTGTTTCCCCACCCCCACTGAACTCCTGCTCCAGAGAACTTTACTTGGAATCCCCCCTGAACCTGGGGTGGTCGCGGCCCCTGGGGGAGTTAGGGAGAGGGTAATATGCAAAAAATCAGAGAGGGGGGGAATTGTTTTCCTCTAAGGTTCAAGAGTCCAACAAGTGCCTGAATCCGTTTATTGGGATTTAGAAATCCTTCCTTTCGTAAAACAAAGGGAGTATTTTTAAAAGTGTTAACACTTTAATAAAATATTACTTAATAACAATTAACTTATTAACACTTGATTTTCCCATCGCTACCCGTCGAAAGGCCTCCTGTCTGGGCCCGGGAGACCTCAGGCCTCTGGGAAACTCGACAGCTGCTCCCAGAGCACTTAGATCGGGGTCGGGAGAGGCCAGAGACCACTCAGCGAGGGGAACTAGGAAGGTGAGGACGCGGCGTGGGGAGGGACCGGGAGGCATCCCAGGTGGAAACTCGCTTGGACTCCAAGGCGTCGGGTCGGGCTTGCACCCGAGGCCGGGGCCTCAGCCTCAGGTGGAGGGGGGAGAGAGGGGGACCGGGCTGTGAGGGGAGGTTGGTAACGACCAGGCTCAGCCCGGGTAATTACAACCCCGCCGCAGCACCTGCCTATAGAGCCACCAGTGACCCGTCAAAAAGAGTAGCATGGGAATTCGGACCGCGACAAAGGACGGTGGGGGGAGGCGCTCGGCGCTGCGGCCACCGCCTAGGCGCCCCCTCTCCCGCAGGGCGGGAGGGGAGGTTGTGCTAGGGGAGGGAGGGGCCGGAGAGAGCCCACGGAGGCCACAGCGGGTCTTGTCCTCAACCCCCTCAGGGAGTCTGTCACTGAGCCCGGAGGAATTCACGGCCGCCCAGGAGCCGGGCCAGCTCTGCTGCATCGCTCTCACTCGGGAAGCTGAAAATTTGGTTTCCGTCTTTTGCCACCATCCTCCTCTGCATATCACACGCGCTCTGGACGCGCTGGAGTCCGTGCTGGGGCCCAGCAATAAAGTCGCCCCAGCTGTCCTCCTCTTCCCCTTGGCACTCTTGATGATGCCAAGATGAGTGTGTGGGAGGAGCAGTGACGGGGTCTTCCCCGCTTCCCATCCAGACCCGAGGCCAAGGACACACTTCCCTGGAGAATCCGATGGGGGTGAAGGGATTGGTGACCCTTCTCTGCCTCCCTGGGCCCGGACTCCCGGTTGGTGGCTACTTGGGCCGCCACCGCTGCAGGCCGGCCTTGCCTTGGGGGCAGACCTCGGTGCCGAGGCTCCTGGGGCAGATTAGAGACAGGAAAATGGGCTGGGGCGGGGCCCAGGAGGGAGGGACGCGAAAATTCCTGGGCATAGCGGGTCTGTGCCTCAGATTCCGCCACCCAGCCACGTTAGGGTGACTTGGGGTCACGAGACACACTGGTTGACCCTGTTGCAAAGCTCCTCTCATTTAGCAAGCCGAGCGAGCTCCGACCTGAGGCGAGCCGGAGTTTCCTCAGGCTGGAAAACCGTTCTTAACTTCCCTCGCCAGGGGGTCCCCTCGGGGCTTTTTGTGTGTCATAATTGCCTAAAGATATATGGCAGCTTCGATTACTGTAATTACCATCAGAGGCTGTTGAAAGAAGTTAGTCTGGGCTGCAGGGGTGACTGGCCAGGGTCTTGTTACCACCCAGGCGGGGCTCCGGGTGACATCGCTCTGCCCTCCAACTGCGCGAAGCCGAGCGAGGCGGGAGATGAAGACCTCCGCAGTCCAGCCCGGTCCTGACCCGGCCTGCTGCGCGCCGACCCCCTCGCCGCCCCCGGCTGGAGGGCCGCAGGTTTCGGGCAGGCTGCAGCCACAGGTCTGAAGAGTGCCTGGGCGCAGCAGCGCTGGGGGCCGGGGCTGCTGTCCTGCCGGCCTAAGCAACCTCAGCAGCGGCGTCCAACTTGAGCCGGGCTTAAGGCTTCCAAGGTCGAATGCAGGCTTGGCAAGTTGGGAAGCTCTCAAGTTTCCCTAATGTGCCCACTCTGCCTTCTCCCACCCCCAAATCCTGAGGGTCCGCCTGTAGTCCAGTCCACAGAGAGGACTTGCCCACTTCCTGGCCACTGAGCCCTCACCTTTCAAGCCCCCAGTTATCTCTGCACCCCAAGAGGGCAAAAGAGCTCGAGGTTTCCTACTTCCAGGGCGGGAACTGAGGGCCTGTCCCAGGGCGAAGGAGCCAGGAGGCCTGCCCAGGCCCGAGAGCTTCGTTTTTTGAAATAGACTTAGAATGCCCCAGGAAAGGCCTCCTTCTGCGCCTCCAGTGAAGGGCAGGCACTCCAGGAACTGGGGCAACAAAAAGGGAGCCCGCCTCACCTCTCGGAGATTCTAACAGCGACAGCAAGGATAGGCCCAAGGGACCCGCCAGTCCTGCGCAAGAATCGGCTGTGTGTTCCCAGCGCGGCTAAGATCCCTTCTCCTTCTCTCTGCTCTAGCCCGAAATATTCCTCCTTTTCTCTTTTTGTTCACGCTCACTTTGCTCTAATTTTTTTTAACCGTATTACCCTAATCAAAACAAGTGAACAAAATAAAAACACCACCTACTTCTTGCGGGGGTGGAAGGCAGGGGCGGGAATTGCATCCCTCCTAAGTGGAACTTCATTATCAGTCCTCACAAGTATCTTGGACTCTCCCAACTTTCAGACTCTGGACAATGAGGGCGAGTGAGGGGGGGAGGGGGCGGGAAGGACGCACTGAGCGTCAAAAATGTTATAGGCGAAAACCACACCGGCGGCGGGAGAACTCCGGGATGTGAGGGCTGTGGCAGCCACAGTCCTGTACACTGGAACCCGCAGCCGCCGACCCAGAGAAGGCGGGAACTGAAAAGCCTGGGGGGGAGATCCGAGCCCCGCGGCCGCGCTTTCCCAACGCCGGCGCAGGCCTGCACATTCTCGGGTTCCGATGGGACTGCACACACAAATGTCCTCACGCTCTCAAGTAGCCCTGCAGTCCCGCAGTGGGGTGGGTACAGGTCAGCTGCGGGTTGGCAGTGGGTGAGAGTGGCAGCGGCTAAGGAAGTTTGAGGAAGGAGAGAGCGCGCGGAGGGAGCAGGCCGCGTACTCCTGCCTCTGCTGAGCTTCGGCTCGAAAAGTCCTTGGGATTAGGGATTTGGTTCTCTCTTTGCTAGAGTGGTTCGCCATACTTTAAATTCCCCAGTTATGACCTACGCGGATTTAGGATTAAAGAAAATGTGACTTTTAAATTGTTTCTGCTTCCCAGTTTTGCAGGATTATTTGAAATAGCTAGAAAAGGGGTGCAAAGCATTCCATTCAAAATCCGCTTTGCAGAGAGTTGCTTTTGCGCGCTGGAGCTCCGAGTTTTGAGCGAATGTGTTATTGTGCTGCCGCCTGGAGCTGCGGCCCAGTTCCCGCCCCCGTCGCACCCCTCCCATCCTCAGCACCTGGCGGCTAAATGGAAACAACTCGCTGGACTGGTGGGCTGAGTGGGTCGCAACCTTCCCACCATACCAGATAGAGGGGGAATCTAGCAATCCAGAAGCAACGAAATTGCTCTCCACTCTCCACGAAACCATCCGACTCACGGTCTACGAGGACCTGGGCCAAAGGGCACTCGCCCGCTGACGTCCCTCTGGGGGGCTCAGGAGCCGCAGCGCACCGAACAGGATCTCCCCGGCCTCCCGCCAGCCCGCCCCAGGCTGCGCGCCTGGGCCCCACCGCGGCGGGGAGAGGTACCCACTTGTTGATCCTGCCGGCTTGCTCATGCTGGCGGTCCCGGGGCGGAGCGGTTGGTGGGCACTGCCGGAGTCCCGGCCGGCAGCGCCCGCCTCGCTGCCGGGCGCCGCAGCTCGCCAGCCGCCCTCCAGCCTGCAAAGCTTCGGGGCCCGACAGGTGGGTATCGGTCGCGCGCGGCGCTGCTCTCCCGGTGCTCAGAATTCGTTCCACAGTGGAAATTTAAGCATCCTTAAGTTTCTTCCCGCCTCTTGCAAAACTGCGGCTGCTGGGATTGCTGCTTAAGATGGACATACACATGGACAGACAGATGGAGAGATGGACAGGAAGGCTGAAGAAGGGAGGACAGTACGAGAAGGGTATTGAAAGACAGATGGAGACACGAAAATGGTCTGCCTATGGAACAAAAAGGGTAAAATCCCTCTCTTTCCCCATTCCTGTCACTCAGTCTTCAACCTCTCCCTCTACATAGGCATGCAGAGTGTGGGCAGATCTCTACAGACCGCTGGTCTTCTAAAGAAAGATGGAAAAACACAACCGCAGGCTCAGAGGCAGATGGGCTCTGTGCTGCCGGAACCCGAGAGCCGAGTGGGAAAACTAGATTGCTGGGAAATCTTCCGAGGGAAGAAACGGCCAGGTCCGGGTTTCCGGGGAGAGCCGCGCACGCAGCGGCAAAGGGTCCCCGAAGTTCATTACCCCGTGACTTTGTGCCTGTCGCTGCGGGCTGGGTCCTCTGAAATATCTCCAGAAGCGCTCTGACAGGCAGCCGCGGGGAGGGGAATAGGGCGTCCCTGGCCCACTTAGCTTTTCCCCCAACTCCTGGCGGGGTCTGACGTCAGCCATGTGCGGGGAGGAGATGGGAAGAGGGAGGGGGTTAAATGCTAATGATATTAATGAACCTCCAAGCGGCTCCCAAAGAAAATGCAGGCGCTCTCGGAGCTGACGAGTTAGAGTGTGAATATGGGAGTGAGGCTCTGTGCGTGCGTGATGGTGAGGACGGTGCTGCTCTTGTAATAAAAATGAATTATTATATTTCATGGTAAGGGAGAAGGGGAGGGGTGATGGGGCTTTCTCAAAACGCTTTCCCCCCCTCTCTCCAGAGTGCCAGACAGATAAATTCGTGGAAGAAATGGGGTGGCTGTGTTTGTGTGTGATTGTGCACGCTGGACATAGCCACATGAGTTGGTTCATTCTTGGTCCCGTGCCTCTTCTGTTGGGTAAAACTTGGATCTGGCCCGAGGTGAGTAATATATTCATTTTGCAACTCTCTATGGAAAGTCAGAGCTGAGGATGCTGTGTGCGGTCATGGGGCCTGGGATGGGTTCTTGCGAAGGCACCGCCGCGTTCCTTCGACCTTCCGCGTGGTGGGTTTGGGCACTTGATGTGTGGGGAGGGCAACGCCAGTTTCTCCCAAGCAAAACCGGCCCATCCGGAACTGAACGAAGCTCGGGTGACTCCGTTATGCACACTGGAGAGGCTGGAAAGCAGAGCTTTCCCTCCCGCAGCTTGTCCCCAGCGGGCGTCGCTGGCTCCTTCTCTCCAGGCTCAGAGATCTTGGAGAGGTCCCCCACTCCCGCCCCATCCCACTAGCCTTCCCGCGATTTCTGAGCCCTGGCGTCCTGGTCCTTGCACAGCGCTGGGAGAGCGCACGCCAAGAGAGCGGTGATCTCCGATCACTAAGAGATTAATTCTCTTTAAGCTCTTTGGGCAGCTTGAACTTGTTGAACAAGAGCTTGCTAGCCTCTCCTCAGGGCGTGGGCCTGGCCAGGGGTCAGGGGTCATGCCTCCGGCCCTTTGCGCGGTGTTCTGGGGTGAAGGAGAGGTGGCCAGCGCTAAGTAATTCCTACCTCCCGCCCCCAGTCCCCGGCCTCCACTTTCTCCGGACTCGGTGTCAACTTGAATCTCCAAATAGAATTTGTGCATGGAAGTAAGTGCTTGAGTTCCCCGAGCCCACGGAGAACGCAGCAGATCGACCCCCCACCAGCGTCCCAGAGGGCGCAGGCTGTTAATTCGGGTTGGCGGCCTCAACACGTGACCTCAACTTTCCACAGCTATCTCGCTGTGGCCTGAAGCCCCAGGCGGCGCACACCACGCACACCGGATCCCGCGTCCTCCTCACAATGCAGCCAGCAGGGCGCGGGGGCCCGGGCGACCCGGAAAGAACAAGAGGTGGATGACTATTTCCTAAGTCATCCTCGGTCTTTCGAATTGGGACGAGATTAGGGCATTGCGGGACAAAGCCATAGCCTAAGAGATTTTTTAGGTAGCAAGCCGAGAAATCAACATTTTTTTCTTTTTTTACGGTCAAGTTGGGCAGACGCGTGCGCATCGAGCCCTGTGTGCGACTAGGCAAGCTCGAACTCCGCGCCCAGGGAGCAAAAGGATTTCCGGTAAGGGTTTGAGAAACAATTAAGATGCCAGGCTCTGTTTTGGATCCTCAGGTTCTGGTTCCCGCCAGAAATCCACTTGCTGCTGCTGCCGCCGCCACCACTACCACGATCAGGATGCGGAGGCGGAAGGGGGCGCTTGGTTAAGGACAAAGAACTTCAAGAGTCAAACTAATTTGTCTCGGGCAAAGATGAGGGCAGGGGTGGGAGACTAGACCCGGGCCTGTCTCTAGGGGAAAGTTTAAGTGTGTGTAGCCAGGAGGAGAACTAGGAGCTGCTTTGTGAGTGCGGGGGCTCAGAAATAGGACAATAATGGCTTTCCTGGGCTCCAAATCACCTCTTTCCCTATTCCCCCTCCCCACATCCCCACTGCTGGCTCATTTGCAAGCACCAACGCTTATGAAAAATATTCCTGAGACGCACCAAATTGTCACAAAATCAAAATCGGAATGTTCTTTCTTTCTCATGACACCAGTTTCTAATCAAGCCGGGTGTCAAGATGTCCACTGAACATGCGTTTATGTGCGCGCGCGCCTACACACACACACACACACACACACACACACATCTATCCCTGGCAAAAGGCACAAACGGGCACACACACCCGCAGCATATGCGTCCTGTGTTCTGAGCGCCCGGCTGTAATTATCCGGGCGCTTTGCATAATTCACAATGCAGTTCTGAAATCATCATGATGACTTTCTGGCATGATTGGTTCGATGGTAACGGCGGCAACAAGCTCCAAGGGTAGGCGGGAGGGGCTGGGACCCACTGGCCCATCAGGTCCCAGAAAAGCCTGGAGCCTAAGTGTCCATCAATCTCTGCTCATACCAAGATGCTGCAGGCCACGGGAACCTTGGCTCAAAGCTGTGGAAAAGTAGGAGCTCTCTTGGGTGCAGGTCAGAGAAGAAAGCCTCTGAGGGGCAAAGACTGTGTCTTTTAATTTTCCTGTGCATGGTCCCTACCTGACTCACAGTAGGTGCTACATAAATGTTGGGTGAAGGAAGTCAGTCAGTCAGTGGCAGATTTCCCTAGAGGCCACTAGAGGCACAGCAAGGTTAACCACAGGAAGCCAGATGAGAAATCAGGCCCTGGTCCAACCTGCTGTGAACTTTGGGCAAATGGCTAGACCTCTCTTAGCTGTACATAGTTATTTTTAAGGAACTCTGAGTCTGTTCAGCTTTACGTTTCAAAGATTTTTCCTGTGAGACCACTAAGAGAAATGATTAGTAAGTGGCAAGTGCCACCTATCTCAGAGATACCTTTAAGGGAAATAAGACTTTAAGTTCCACTGGAGGGGAAAACCACAGCCCAGAGGTTCTGGAACCCTTCTGACCAGTTCTAAACATAGTTTCTCACTTCCCCTGTAGCCTCTTGTGATTATGAGTCTCTCAAACAAAATAAACACCAAAAACATATAGGGAAGGCATCTTTTATTAAAGGGTGTTTTTATTTAGTCCAGAAAATGAGAAATAAGACCAACAGCTGGCTTTGGGGACTCAGGAGGCTGAGGCAGGATGATCCAAAGTTTGAGGCTAGCCTCAGCAATTTAGTGAGACTATGTCTTGAAATAAAAAGAAATATAAAAGGGCTAGAGATGCAGCTCAGAGGTAGAGCACCCTTGGGTTCCATCCTCAATATAGAGTAAAGGAGGAGAGAAAGAAAGAAAGAAAGAAGGAAGGAAGGAAGGAAGAAGGAGACTGAGAAGGACCATGGTATCAAGGGGCATTTTCTGTCCATCCATCAACCCACCGCATTCATCAAGGGCTTGTGCACCCACTATGTGCCAATTCCTGTGGATATAGAATAATGACATGGCCCCTTTCTCAAGGAGTCTACATCAGGGCAGGGAAGAAGATACATTAAAGTGTTTTGTGTTTTAGATTGGGGTAAAACACAGGAAACTCTAGAAAAATATACAAGGCCTTCTAAACCAGTATGCAGTGGGGTGGGCTGTCAGGGGCTCTGTGGAAAACTTCCTGTATTAGAGGACTCTGCTGCTTCTGAGAACTGTCTTGTGATACATAGCTTACATTTCTGCTAAGGTCTCTTCCAGTCTAAAAAGGGAGGTAGAGGACTGTTACAAAGGTTGTGTTGAGAGAGATCGTAGAAAGCACCCTTCCAATCACCAGACCTCTGGGTTTGATTGCTAGTTCTGCCACTCATTGGCTACTCCAAATAATAATAATAATAAAAAAGATGCTATTTTATCCATTTACCAAATCCCCTTCCTAAATCAAAAGACAAGGGAGAAAGGAAAGGCTTTCCCATCAATGAGCAGATCTTAGACCATTCTGCCTCCAGAAGACCCTTCCTTTAAAATGCTCTTCATCTTTATCTACAAAGAGTAAGAAATAGACCCAGGAAACTGGGAGAGCCTACTTGCTGAACTTGGCTGAGTTTTAATGGTCAGCCTCCAAAAGACACTCTGACACAAGTTTTTATTTGTTTGATTGTGTACACAAAAGAGAAAGTTCATGTTCATTGGCTTCCAAGTCATTCAACCTATGGTGTTGCTTGGCTAATGGTTGGTGAGTGAGAGATGGGTCATGGAGCAGAGTGTGTAGCATATGTGTGTGCTCAGTAAGGGCTTGCTAAGTAACAGAATGAAAGAAAAAAAGTATTGCCAGCTTGCTCCTGATTCTGCTGTGCACCTCATTATAAATTGTTTTGCTCCAATCTAAGAAAATAAACATGGAGAACAATCCAGAAAAGAGACCCAGGTTTTCTAGACTCCAGTGGATGCTGAGTTGCAGAGTTTTAACTTGACACACATTGCAATACTGTGCTCTGTATTCTTAGCACCATATTGCTAAGTACTTCCTGGTACTTCCCACTCATGAGAAGAAGACCACTGCTAACAGCAACAGCGATAAGACAATACCATGTGCGAGAGGCTTTCCACCTTAACAAATAGCAAATCATATCCCCACATTTATTTGCCCCCTCATTTGGCAGAAGAAATTTAGTTCTAGGATCAGGCTGAGCATTCGACGAGGCTCATAGAGAGTCCCACTGCCCCTTGATATTATTCTTGTTCTAAGAATAAGCAAACAGAAACACCTACCTAGCTCCAGGTACCTGGCACACAGTGGGGCTTTACAACAGTGGGATGTATGAGCAGCTGCCTAGTGGTACTCACAATGAAAGCTGAAGCTTAAAGGGGCTCACCTCTGTTCAGCTCCAGAAGGGAATAGGGACAGATCCTCTGACTCCCCAAACCTTGGGAAGTAATGCAGTTCATTTTTGGCTTTCTAACACAAAACAAAATAACTAGAGAAACAAGAAGGCAGACTCCATTCAGGAAGAGATTGGCCACCCAGCCTTCTTCAGCCTCTTAATTTTCTGTGATTTTCAAAGTCTGACTTGATTTCCATATAGTCCAGAATCACAGAGCACTCAAATTAGAGAGGGCCATAGTACTCAT